TATATGTATATATATATATATATATATTTTTTTTTCCCCCACACCTTGCAGGATCTTAGTTCCCCAACTGGGTATCGAAACTGTGTCCCGGGCGCGGGAACGCGGCGGCTCCGTGTCACCGGAGCCGGAGTGCTCAGGCCCATCCCGGCTGGGGGGCGGGCGGCCCGGACGATGGCGCCACGTGGTTCATGTATGTGCTGAGCTGGCTGTCGCTCTTCAGCCAGGTGGCCTTCATCACGCTGGCCATTGCAGCCGGACTCTATTACCTGGCAGAATTGCTAGAAGAATACACGGTGGCCACCAGCAGGATCATAGAATATAGGGTCTGGTTCTCCGCAGCTGTGCTGATTGGCCTCTGTGTTTTTGAGCGTTTCGCCACCTACATGATCGGCATAGGCCTCTTCCTGGTCTACCTGGTCTACTTTGGCCTCCTCCAGACCTTCCCTTTCATCATGCTCACCTCGCCTAACTTCATCCTGTCCTGTGGGCTACTGGTGGTGAATCATTACCTAGCGTTTCAGTTTTTTGCAGAGGAATATTATCCTTTCTCAGAGGTCCTGGCCTGTTTCACTTTCTGTCTGTGGATAATCCCGTTTGCGTTCTTTGTGTCACCGTCGGCTGGGGAGAACGTCCTGCCTGCCACCATGCAGCCTGGAGATGATGTGGTCTCCAATCACTTCGCCAAAGGCAAGCGGGGCAAACGCTTAGGGATCCTGGTTGTCTTCTCCTTCATCAAAGGGGCCATTCTACCCAGTCGGCAGAAGATATACTGACCTTCTGCGGAGGGGTTACCGGGGCAAGATCAGGAGAGTCAGGCCTCTGGGCCTCTGCACTAGGTGGGGGCCGGGAGCTGGAAGGCACCTTTCCCCAGCCCTGGCCCTCCTTCCCTCGACTCCCCCAGAAGCCCCCATCCCCACCGTCCTCAGGAGGCTCAGCTTGGCTCAGATCTGATGCTGCCAGAGGCTGAGACCTCAGAGGGCGCCAGGGAGGATGTGGTGCCTGCTTAGCCAGGAGACCATGGTCCACCTGGGTGTGCAAAAGCTGAGCTCCTGTGGCCCTCCCGCCCCCTCTTGTGATGGGTCAGGAGTTCTGGCTCAGGCAGGGCAGGGGCTGTGAAGCTGGAGAGCAGACAGGGATAATTGCTATGGGCAGATGGCAGTGGGGAGGGGCCGTGGCTTAGCCTTTGCAAGAGAAAGTTTTTGCTGTTGAACTGTGATTTCTGTCCAAGTGCTGATTCCCGTTTGAATAGATTCTAGGTGACCCTGTTTGCCTTAATACCCTGAAAAAAAAAAAAAAGAAGAAAAGAAAGAAACTGTGTCCCCTGCAGTGGAAGCATGGAGTCCTAACCACTGGACCAGCAGGGAATTCCCTGGTGTGCTATTTTTTATAAAACATGTCCTATAGAGAAAATGGTGTGAGGGTAAGTACTTCAAAATGTAATGGTCTTTGTTTGGTGTTGGAAATAAGCTGTACTTTTTATTGTTTCTGCCTGTCTTTTTTTTTTTTTAAATGATGAATGTATATTTCTTATGTAACTGAAAAGTAATAATAGTTAAAAAAAAAAAAAACCAGTAAGAGATCATTGCTTTCGTAGGGGAGTAATGGGTATCTGGACTTTTTCACCCTGTCTGTGCTCTGCTTTTTTTTTTTTTTTATTTGTGGCTGCATTGGGTCTTCGTTGCTGCATGGGCTTTTCTCTGGTTGCGGCCAGCAGGGGGTCTACTCTTCCTTGCGGTGTGCGGGCTTCTCGTTGCAATGGCTTCCCTTGTGGAGCACTAGCTCTAGGCATGCGGGCTCAGTAGTTGTGGCACTCAGGCTCAGTAGTTGTGGTTCACAAGCTCAGTAGTTGTGGTGCACGGGCTTAATTGCTCCACAGTATGTGGGATCTTCCCGGACCAGGGCTTGAACCCATGTCCTCTGCATTGGCAGGTGGATTCTTAACCACTGCACCACCAGGGAAGCCCCAAACCACTTGACTTTAAAATTGGTTCATATGAAATATTTTTCTAGCTCCTAAGTTATTAAAATTGTGATACCAAGTTCTTGTTTTAGATGCAGTGAAATGGGTATTCTACTGTTTCCTTGGCATTATAAATTAGTGAAAACCTACCGGAAAACAGTTGGGAAGTAACTATCAAGAACCATCAAATCCTCATACCCTTTGATCCAACATTCCCACTTCTGGTAATCCAGGCTGAGGAAATAAGCAAAAATTTGAGGAAATGTACATATATTTCTTAATAAAACACTTAAAACAACCTAAATGTTCAGCAAAATGAAGTGGTTAAGTAAATTCTGCCATATCCATTGGATGAAATATTATGCAGCCATTAAAAATATTATTATGAGGACTCTACAGCAACATGAAAATATGCTTATGACATAATTTAAATTAGGTTAGCGTGTTACAAATGATATGTACACTATTACTACTATTTTTAAAACTGTATATTAAGGAAAGATAAGGAAAATGCACCAAAATGATAGCAGTTGTATTGTAAGCTATGGGTAATTTTCCTTTTTGTTTTAGTAGTCTAATTGGACTTTTCTAAAAATAATTTATTTAATTAATTAATTTATTTTATTTTTGGCTGCGTTGGGTCTTCGTTGCGTTGTGCGGGCTCCTCATTGTGGTGGCTTCTCTTGTTGCGGAGCACAGGCTCTAGGCGTGCAGGCTTCAGTAGTTGCGACTCATGGGCTCAGTGGTTGTGGCTCATGGGCTCTAGAGCGTAGGCTCAGTAGTTGTGGTGCACAGGCTTAGTTGCTCCGTGGCATGTGGGATCTTCCCGGACTGGAGCTCAAACCCGTGTCCCCTGCATTGGCAGGCAGATTCTTAACCACTGTGCCACCAGGGAAGCCCTAATTGGACTTTATTGCTTTTATCTTTTAAAAATTAGTTTATTTTAAATGGATAAAATCCTTGGGAATTCCCTGGCAGTCCAGCGGTTAAGACTCCACACTTTCACTGCTGAGGGCACAGGTTCAGTCCCTGGTGGGGGAGCTAAGATCCCGCAAGCCGCACTGCCAAAAATAAAATAAAAGGATAAAATCCATGTAAAAGCTATATAAGAAAGTTAGTCTTACTTCATCTTCCCCTGTACCCTATTTATTCATCAACTTCTGATTATTTCAAACATTGAATTTATCTTTACAGAAGATGAAGATTTCCTACTGATGAGGATATTCAGAAGAATGTGTCATAGATCCTGAAGAAATTTCTAAATTGAGTACCCCAAAAATGTTCTGGAGAGTGGAAGCATCCTTGGAATAAGTGCACTGCCTCCAAGGTAATGACAACTCGAAGTAAACAACATTCATTTGTACGTATAAGGTGTGTCCTGTTTTTAAAGAACCAGGCATAATACTGTTGTGGGCCCCAGACTGACCTTAAACTGGGACCACTCCTGAAATTCAGTCCTTATTAGATGTACCTGATAAGATAGGTGGCCTACAGGTAATAATCAATGTTAACCATTTATTAAGCACTTACTGTGTTCTGGGCACTGTGCTAAAAAAACGCAAAAACTGTCGCATCTTAAACTCTTTCAGCAATCTTTTGAGACAGACATTATTATCTTCATTTTACTGGTAAGGAAGCTGAGACTCATGGAGAAACATGGCCAAGGTCACAGCTGTGAGAGGTAGAACTAGATTTTAACCTAGGTTGTCTGACTCAAGGCTCACTTGCTATGCAGTCCTGCTCTTATTACTTGCATTAGTTTATCGGGGTGGGGATGGAGGGCTATAGTGATGAGGAAGAAGAAAAAAGCTTGCATAGGGAAGACAGCCTGATGTCTGTGTATGACATTAGTCCCAACGTGAGCCTTGAGGACATGTCTGTATCAGATTCATGTAGAGAAAGGGGTTGTAGGTTAAAGCTTTTTCCTGTTCCATTCCAGTTCTCATGCAGAGCTACTCTGGGGTCCAGGGGACAAATATGTGACAAAGTAGAGCAGGGTCTCTTCTACTCTTTTTTTTTCAGTATAGTTGATTTACAATATTGTGTTAGTTTCAGGTATACAGCAAAGTGATTCAGTCATTTTATATATATATATATATATATATATATATATGTATGTATTCTTTTTCAGATTCTTTTCCCTGTATATAGCAAAGAGATTCAGTCATATATACATATATATTCTTTTTCAGATTCTTTTCCGTTATAGGTTATTACAAAATATTGAGTATATTTCTCTGTGCTGTACAGTAGGTCCTCATTGGTTACCTATTTTATATATAGTAGTATGTATATATTAATCCCAGTCTCCTAATTTATTCCCCCCCTTTCCCCTTTAGTAACTATAAATTTGTTTTCTATGTCTCTGGGTCTATTTCTGTTTTGTATATAAGCTCATTTGTATCATTTTTTTTGTTAGATTCCACATATAAACGATATCATATGATATTTGTCTTCCTCTGTCTGGCTTACTTCACTTAGTATGATAATCTCTAGGTCCGTCCATGTTGCTGCAAATGGCATTATTTCATTCTTTTTATGGCTAAGTAATATTCATATATATATATATATATATATATATATATATATATATCTCACATCATCTTCTACTCTTTGAAATACACTCCACTTTGTTACAACTTAGATTTTGAGGGATTGTTCTGTTACTTTGAGGTAGACACAAAAGAGGATACAAGAGCAGCAGAGTTCTTGAATGCAACAGTCTTCAGTGTGTCTCTCTCTTGAGTCATAGTGCTCCAGTCTGGATAGGTGGCATCCAGATGCTATGTCTGGAGCACAGTTGTCATCCTAGAATGTTCCTTACAGCCACTTGGGAATTCTCTTTGCTTCTCTCCTGTGTTGACTCTCCTGTTTCCTGAATCCCATAACTCTCTTTCTCTTTTCTAAAAAAAAAAATGTAGATTTAACTGACATATAACATTGTATTAATTCAGGTGTACAACATAATGATTCAATATATGTATACATTCAAAACGATCACAGTAAGTTTAGTTAACATCCATCACTGCACAATTTTTTTCCCTTGTGATGAGAACTTTTATCATCTACTCCATAACTTTCCCTATCTTTTTTTGCCCTCTAGTTTTGGTGGCCATGTCTTATGAAAGAATGCACTAGAAGTAAGTTCTTCTCTTGTTGCAGAGCACAGGCTCTAGGCATGTGGGCTTCAGTAGTTGTGGCACACAGCCTCAGTAGTTGTGGCACACGAGCTTAGTTGCTCCGCGGCATGTGGGATCTTCCCGGACCAGGGCTCGAACCCATGTCCCCTGCATTGGCAGGCAGATTCTCAACCACTATGCCACCAGAGAAGTCCGAAGTAAGGTTTTTTAACACTTTGTATATCTTTTTTTTTGGCCAGGCCGTGCAGCTTGCAGGATCTTAGTTCCCCGACCAGGGATTGAACCAAGGCCCACAGCAGTGAAAGCACCAAGTCCTAACCATCGAACCACTAGGGAATTCCCAACACCTTGTATATCTGATTTTGTCTTATCCATATGTTTTAATGATGGTATTGATAGTTTAACAGGGTATAGGATCCTAGGTTGAAAATCATCATCTTTCAGAAATTTTGAAGGTATTCTTCCCTTCTCTTCTACTTCTAGGTCTGAAGGTCTGAAGCCACTCTGATCCCTGAACCTCTATCTGGGACCAGTTTCTTATCTTCTTAGAAGATTATAGGATCTTGTCTTTGTCAACAGTGTTCTGATATTTCACAGTGTGTGGGTCTTAATGTGGGTCTATTCTCATTTATTGTCCTGGGTACTCCTTATTTTATGATTTCCTCAACTCTTTTTTTATATATTCTCTTTTTATGAAACTTTTATTCAACTGTTGCACTTCCTTGACTGGTTCTCTAATTTTCATATCTTTTTTCCTCCTAGTTTCCATAACTGTGTCTTTTTGCTCTACTTCTAGGCGATTTCCTCAACTTTATCTTCCATTCTTTCTATTGGGCTCTTGCTTCTGCTTTCATGTTTTTTTCATTTCAAAGAACTTTTTTTCCCTTCTGAATATTCTTTATTATTGTTTATTGCTATTTTTTTCATATATTCAGATATCTTTTCTTCTAGTTGAGGCTATGCATGATAGTTTAAAAAATTTTATTTTCTCGGGCTTCCCTGGTGGCGCAGTGGTTGGGAGTCCGCCTGCCGATGTGGGGGACGCGGGTTCGTGCCTCAGTCCGGGAGGATCCCGCATGCCGCGGAGTGGCTGAGCCCGTGGGCTGTGGCCGCTGAGCCTGCGCGTCTGGAGCCTGTGCTCCGCAGCGGGAGAGGCCGCAGCAGTGAGAGGCCCGTGTACCGCAAAAAAAAAAAAAATTAATTTTCTCTGCATTGTCTCAGTTTCTTCCAAGTTTCTTTCTTCTCTTTGTTTTCATCTCTTTCTTTCCTGTTAGAGGAAATCCTCGTGTCCCATAATCCTTGGCTTTCTGCTCATGAATAAAAGTGGGGGACTAAAAGCTGATTGGAAACTCTGTGCATGAAGGGGAGAATCATTGACCATGAGGTCATTTGTCCATGAACCAATGACCATGAGGGACCATTAGCTGGAAGACCTCAGTGTCATTATCTTTACATCTTTCATATTGGGCTTCATTTTCCCCAAAGAAGAAGATACATCTTCCCAGGAGGTAAAGGTTGGCTACCAGAATTCTGGGAGCAGAGTGTGGAAAAAGTCTACTGATTGCCTCTTTTTCGGTATGATGCTCTTAACTGTTCCTGGTGACCTGTATTACTCCAGAGATTGTTTTACTCTCTCAAGGGAATACCCCCATACTTCTGCTGAGGTGGAGGAGGGGCAGTCACCTGGAGGGTACGGTGAGGGAAGCCAACTGACCTTCAACTAGTCCTTCTTAGTTTAGCTGTTCTTCACCCCCACCTCCAGGGATACCGCTGGTTAA